TTATTAGAGACTTCCTAGTTTAATAGTGGCTTGCTATAGTGGGGTCCTGTTCTTGAACATAAGGCACCTGCATATTTCAGCTTAGAAAGATGAAATTGATTAATGCCTGTAACATTCAGACATGTTTTCATTCAAATTAGGAGAAACTTATGATTCTTTAAATAAACATACTTTTTTGCTGTTTTGATTCCTGCTCAATTTTATACCAAGCAGACACTTTACACTATTTCACCATTTTCTTTAATGATCAACTATTTCAACTGGTCTCAGAAGCTCCAGACCCATCTCTTGGTTTTATATGCTGGGATGCAGCATTAGAAGCAAAGCAAAGCAAAACGAACAAAAAGTCCTTCCTGGGTTAAAAAATCCTGACCTAGATGGTGCTATGTTCATAGAAGGTGCTGAAGGTACTCCTTTCAGAAAATTGATGCAAAATAAATACAAATGAATCTGCATCTTCAGCAGGGTTTCTCCAGACCAGTGCTTGTGTTGTGGTTTGTTGTGGTTTTTTAATCAAATCACTCCCAGTTCTGTAGACCTTATTATTGCCCCATTTTTCTTGTGTCTGATGCCTTATCTCTCTCCATCATTGGGGGTTGCCTTAAACTTCAGTGGAGATTCATTCCAAGGAAGTGTATGCTCAAGTCATTGCTTTATAGTGTGGTGAATGTTATCTACAGCTTGATTGCAAGGTTTTATGCAGTAGCTTATAATATGCCCTTCAGAAGGCTGTATTGACAGCCAGATTGACAGCTGTGCCAATGCAACAACCCCAAATCAGGCTCCCTGGATTCAGTGTTGCAGAAGCGTCACACTGGCAATCTCTACCTCGGCTAGACCAGTGGAAATGTTTAGGACCATCCCCTGTGTTAGATCAAGGGTTAAAACTGATCGAAGAATTATTTATGGCTAGTTAGTACTTGGTAAGGAAACATCAGAAAGTAGGAACCGTGAAGGGAAGAACAGGTGCTATAGCTGGAAATAATATGCAATAGCTTGAAGATGTAATTACAAATTAAAAAACATTCTCAGTCTGATGAGGGAATTGGAACAAACTAGATACAACTTAGGCATAACTGCCTAATGCATCTGTTGAGTAGGTATTTAAGCACGTTCTAACACAATGTGTACTAATTGTGACCCTAAACCTGGAAAATACTTAAGTGGCTGGTAAATTTACTTTGGCACTAGATCTAATGGATTTTTCCTAATATATATTGGGTTTTGCAATTCTGAAAACTGTAATATTTCAGAGTACAGAGTACAGTTCCAGAGTGCTGGAAAACATCCCTTAAGAAGTCCACAATTTGTCTAGTAGTTATTTGCTACCTCAACAAAGGCTGGACTAACTGGATTATACAACAGGGCTGTGACTGCAAGTTTGTTTTTAATGCTGCAACTACTTGTCTTGTACCAAGAGAAGTACCACCAGAGAGACTCACTTGAAGTTAAGACAAGTGTCAAGTTTTGCCTAATTTTAAATGAGAATAATTTAATCAAGATCTGTTCACAATTCATTTCTGCATACGTATGTGTGCATTGCACATGAACCCACCAACTTGCACATACAGATAGATAGATGGCGCATGGGTACTAACCATGGGAACACAGGTGGCATGTTTTCTGCCACAAAGGAGAGACAATATATCCATACATTCATATTGGTACATTTTATTTTTCTCCCACCCTTTCCTGATGTATCACAAATACCAGAGCAATGGAGAACCTGTCTTTTGAGAGGGTAGGCGAAAACAAGACAGGCATTCTTCTATTTTTCCCTTCCTCCTCCTCTCTTTAAACAAAGGGGAGCGTTATTCACGCATGTATTCTTCACCCATGGATGTTAATAAGAAAAGAATATGCCTCCACAAGGAATTCACCATGCTCTCTGCCTGAATGTCAGTGCTTTTTCTGGACAAAAAGATGTTTGTGTTTGCTGCATTCCGACACGAGTGTGGGCAGATCAGATATACGAACCAGCACCGCAGGACAGGGAAAGGAGGCTGGAACAACGCCCTGACCATTACCCCAGCTCCTGTTACATAATTAGTTGGAGCTTTGGGAATCCTTACCAATGGACCCTAGGGAGCATATCCTCTAAGTCTGGGAAAAGACCTCTTCCATTATCTCCTTACCCTGCATCTTTATATTCCTTTCCATGTACCTAAGTTCTACATTGTCGCATGTTTACCATGTTGGCTTGGTGCACACTCAAAGGCAGGGTTATCAGCAGCTACATTCAGTTGGTGATAATTCCTGTCTCTGGCAAAGATACTCTTTGAGTGTGTGATGAAGTATATTTGCAGGGTTTAGTTTTTGTGTCTGCCCTGCCTCAGCTTTTTTTTTATTTTTATTTTTAAAAAACCTTTTTCTAGACACTTTCAAAGTGCATCAGTGTTTGTTTTACTATTACACACAATAATTAGCAATCATTATGTTTTTAAATACAGGGAGGAAAAACATAGACCTACATTTCCAGCAACTCTGACATAATAATGAAGTAACAATTCTTATCTGAAACCCATACTATTCAAGACGATTGAATGACACTAATAACTTTATGCTTTCCTTAAAAACACACATGCACGGCTAGTATTAACAAATATTTGTGGCACTTGCTGAGTTAACTTCCAGCATTGAAAGTCTCCTGGAATGAATTCCCAGGAGATATTGTTCATTACCAGCATTATTATTTCTGAGAGCACAATGTTGTCACACAATGGCACAGCCAGTTCTTCACTGACTGGCCAAGATATATGCAAGTCAACATTTAAAAAGCAGTTGTTCTGTTGCAGCTAAATAGTATTTGGAATAATTCATAACCTTTTATTTTTGTTCCGTAGGCACTGGACTAGGAATTATGCAGATATAAATGTACCAATTGTGGCAGTGAAAATCTACAGCAGTGTGCTAGGATCAACAATACAAAAGATGATTTTTCACATGAGAGTGTCTATCTATATGCAACTCCACTCCTAACAGAAAAATAGATTTCACAATTATAGCTAAATACAGAAATATCCACAGTCTGAACCAGATGTAAATCACTTATCACCAAATGCTTGAAATGAATACTTTTGAATCACTTACATTTCAGAACATGTAGTGACTGCTTATTGTAGGTGTGGGTTCATCCCTTAGTGATCTCCTAATCTATGAGAAATAGTGTCTTCGTGCTATACCTGTCAGTTTTGTGACATCACAACATTTCAATTTCAGTTTGAGCCAGATTTGAGCTAGTTGGCCATCAAGGGCAATACTGTCATGATGCAAACTCCCTTAGAAATTGATCTAAACTGAACTGAAGCCAACTATACTTGCTTGGCTATTTTTTTACAATTGCTGCCAACTTTCTGTTAAGTGACTTGCCCAGGACTGGAGAGTGAAGCAAATCAATACTTTAATTTAAAAAGAGAGTATAGTATGTCTCACCTTTTGGACCAACTATACTAGCCCAACTACCAGTATCAGTGACTACTACCAACCAAGAAGCTCATGACTTTTTTGATCTGCCTCATGGTCTCTGATCACTGCTAAAGCATTTAAGAACTAGGTGCACTGCAATGGGTTTTTTAAAAAAAGTTTTATTAAAATATTCTGAAACAAAAGGGGAAAAAAAACTAGAGTCAAGGGGCAAGTGCTTGAGAATGTAAAAAGACACCTTTCTTTATAGGCAGAGCAAAATCAAGTGTGAACTTTGCCTCAGGGTGGATGGAAGAGAGAAAGCGCATCAGCACTTAATAACAATGACTTCTCTTGCAGCAGCAGCTGAAGCTACCTTATACCCAGTCAGGTCAATGGTCTCTCTGGCTCAATAATGTCTACATAAGGTGGTTGCTCTGCAGAGGTCTTTCCTAGCCATACCTTGAAGATGCTGAGGATTGAACCAGAGATCTTCTAAATGCAAAGCTCTACCACTGACCCTCTGTTCCTTACACCCAGAGAAGTTTTTAACTCTTCAAAATTATTTGCCAGATCAAAAATGTTAGCTATAAAAATACAAAATATAACAGCCAGTAGCCAAATGGTTTAGCAAACACTGCAATGATACATTAACAGCAGTGAAGGAACTGGTTTCCCTTCTTCAAATGTGTGTACCATTCTCCTGCTTCATTCCACTTCTCATCTCTTGAACAGTACACAATTATATGTGTGCATTGGCAGTGCTTTTGCTACTGACATCCCCCAAACTAGCTGAAAAGTATTTTCCTTTATTAAGGCAGCACTTCTATACACATTTGCCTAGACATGCACAGATTTGCACTGCGAACCTTCAAACATTCATCCATGAAAAAGCACAAGTTAATACAGATGTGGTCCGATCTTGTCACAATTCCCGCGTTCTGTTTTGTTTCTCTCATCAGAAAAGAAACAAAAGGCATTCGGGTTGGCGAGCTGTCCCCTGGTTTCACAAAGCTTCGTGTTAGTCTCACGACACAGCCTGGGGTTACAAATGCCATCAAGAGTCATAAACAGACATGAAGCCAACAGACGTTAAACTAAAGTCAGTGTCTATAAAGCTATCACAGAGCTGCTGTAAACAATTGTCTTTCTGTGACTCCTTTCCAGTCAGATTTTGAGAAACATTGCAAGGAAAATATCACTGATGGGGAGGAAAAAATTCAAAAGAACACCAAGCCTTTCCCCACCATAGGTACTACTTACAACCAGTTAACAACAACTCTCCCCAAGGGAGCCTCAGAGCATCACATCCTGATGTAAAAATAATCTCAGCATTAAGTTAGAAGAGGATTAGGGGTAATTAGAAGTTCAGGTCAATTTAAAAGGGGACTGTCTGTAGTAACATTCTCTAATGCATTATTTCTAAAATTGTCATAACAGCCAATTATCACATTAGAAATGGATAAACACAATTCTGAAGGCTAAGTCAACTGTTGCTCTACGGAGGTTATTGCGTTCTCTTGAGTTTCCTCCCACCCATCCTTTTACAATTCTTGACTTCATTGCAGCTATTCTGTTCTCCTTTCCTCTGAGCTCACCTTGCCCCTCCGGGGATAATGTTTGTCACCTCCAAAGAATCTGCCCAGTGAGTCAAGTAGACCCGGTTCCCTGTATCTTCTGGGGGATCCATGTCTAGCATGGTCTATTGTACTTGCAGTTGCAAGTTTGGATCCATGCCGGAAAGAGGAGCGTTTCTGTGAAGCCATCAAATCCGAGTTCTCAGAAGCTGCTGCACTGTCTTCCTGAATGGTCTGTAGCTCATCTGATTCAGAGGGCCGGTCTTTGAAGGTGTTGTCTTCTCTCCCTGGGGCATCTCGGGAAAAGAGGCGGACCAAATGGGGACGACCAGTTGTGTCAGCTGGGTTGGCCTCCTTCCAGGCATTCTTTGGGTCTGCTGCGCCCTTGGAGTCTGTCACCGCTGTGCTCTTAGAGGAGGTCCCATTGTTCTGGTTCACATCTGCCTCTCCTGCAAACAACAAGGATGAGATATGAATGCAGGCCTCTGAAAAACAGAGAGCTGGAACAATGCAGCTTTCTTCCCCTTGCCTTGGGTTTGCTGCTTCACACAAAGTCCATAGATTATGTGCAGTTGCAACAGAACTGCCTTCTACCAGCTCCAGTACAGATATATTAATTATTATCAGAATTAATATAGCGGGAAAGAAGAGTTGTCAGGCTGGTGCATGCCTATTTTATTTACTGAAAACTGTATTTGGAAGAAAGGCAAAGGTCTTTAGTTGTTAACAACATAGGGCACCCTTTTGCTTTGCCTGTTTTTGCAGGAGAGTATCAGAACAAATTTGTAATGACTGATAACCTAACGTTTAGGCTACACAAGCGTAAGTGTAAATGTATCCTCTAAACAGCTCTGTTAGGTTCTGGACCACGATAATCCTGCAAAACTATCTGTGAAAATCTACACTGGCTGACTAATCATTTCAGAGTCCTATTTATGGTGCTGGTGCTTTAAAGTCCCAAATGGCTTAGGACCCAAATACCTGAAGGACCCCCTCTTTGCATACCAGGCTGTCCAGGTATTAAGATCCTGCTTCAAACACCCTCTTTAGTAGAGATATAGTAAGTGTTCACACAGGGCCTTTTCTGTGGTGGCACCCTGACTTTGGAATACCTTCACTGGTACTGACACTGCAAGTCTGCTATTTACCCTGGCATTTTAGGTTGCAGGTTTTTCCCCCCAGGTGAGGTGATTTTTATTTTTAGTTTTGCTTTTTGTCATATATTATACTTACCTGTTGCTTTAAAATTGTATTTATATCTGGTTATTCAAACATTTGTACAGACCCTAGAGTCTTCTGATGGTAGACATTAAGTAACATTTTAAATAAGCAAATATGCATCTTCACTATCCAGCCTAACTTGCAATGATGAGAAATAATTACATGGACAGATTTCATTTGGGGGGGGGGAGTCTTATTAGCAAATCTACTCTGGCATAACTGTTTACTCAGAGGAAAAAGAGATTCACCACCATTTGCGGGGGGGGGGGGGAACAACTGTTCACACGTACAAAAAAGTGGTACTCAGTCCTCATATAACCTATCAGGAATTGACACGTGTTTTGCACAAGCAATCACATCACCACTGGTGTAGACAAGAGCAAGCGTAACAATGAGGAAGTAGGAGCAACTTAAAAAGTTCGGGGCTTTTTGTTTAGGGAAAAAAGGGGAATTCCACAATACTAGAACCCAGGGTCACCCAATGAAAATGAATGGTGGGTGATTCATGACAAATGGTACACTACACTCCTTCCCGTCATGCATGATTCATGCTCCCCTAAGATGCAGAGATGGCCACCAACTTGGACCATTTTGAAAGGGGATTCAATAAACCCATCGATCCCTACTTCAACCAGAGGATCCAGGACCAGAGGACAGCAGTGGGAGAGGGCCGTTGCACTCATGTCCTCCTTGAAAGCTTCCCCTAGGCATCTGGTTGAATGCCGCACTAGACAGGCCTTTGTCTGGATCCAGCCAGGTGCTTCTTATGAGCCCAAAGTATAGAGAATTTCAAGGTCCTCTGCCAGTCTCAGAATATTGCTACTGTTGGTGACAGGTGCTCCGTGCCAGGAAGAATGTTCCAAGGCCGGGACATGTGCTCTGGCGGAACTAGAGCAGAGATAGAGAGCCACTGTGGCAGACAGTGTTTTAAAACTGATGCAGAAGGAACAGGCAGAAGGTGGAGGAACTGAGAGGAAAGCTGAGCTGGATGAAGCAAACAGAACAGCTTTTTGATCTCTCTGTCACGTTTTCTGTGGGGATTATGCCTTGCTGCTAGCAGACTGCCAGAGATTCCAACAGCATCTCATCACTTCTGGTAATCCCTGTCGCAACCCTTGCGTTCATATTTTGCTGCCATCGACACATATGCACGCACTATTCCTTTTCCTGAAACTGCAGCTTTTTAAAAATTTGCAACCAACTTTTTCTTTTCTTTAAGGGAGGGGGGAATTTGAGTACTTTTGCATTTGAATGCATGTCCCCCCCCCCCCGCTTGCTTGGACCGTCAGCAGGGTCTGAGCTCAGTCATACCTGATTGGCCTCAGTGACAGGGATAACAGTTTCCAAAGAAACCCATGAATATAATTAAAAACGGAAAAGGGCTGTGTTTAGTAGCAACATTTCTGTTGCTTGTCTGGACTTTAGCAACTTTGTCGTTGACTGTGGAGATGTAAAGAGGTTGATCCCTTGCAATTCTGTGAAAATGTTGCTGCCCCAAGACTTTTTGAGATTGGAATTAAATCAGATATTAATTCCTGCATAAAGACCCTGTGAGCAACCAACACAATATAAGGAATTTTATTCATCAACACTGGCAAGATTCTATGCCATAATACACATTCATTCCAGGGTGGTGGGGGGAACGGACAGAACAATGAAGCTATTGTTTTTAATTAAATGCATTAACAAAACACCAGAGCATCTGCATGCTAATATTTTTACAACAGTTGTGCTTTGTGTCAGTGAATGCATTTATTTCTGGCCAACAAAGGAAAGCATTTGTGCCACAAAAGGAGCTTCTCCCAATACTAGCTAGAACATCTTATGCCTCCCTTTAGTAAGGAAAATATGTATTGAGAGCTTTTATTCTCCTGCTCCCTACAGTGGAGTGTCACCGTTTTAAAAGGTACAGCACAACCATAGGTGTACTTACCTGCACTTGCAGAGTAGCAGAGATAAAATGATAAACTAAAAAGGAATAGATTTTGACCAGCCTGATTGATGAGAGGTTGGCAACACAAGGCCTCAGGCCTGCCAATACTTTCCCACTCAACGGCCACCACAATAACGTAGTAGCATGGGGACAAACTTGGTTCCAGTCTAGGTAAGATTCTGGGCACCCCAAAAACATTTACTATGTCAGCATCATGTTTAAAAGCAAATGTCTTAATAAAAGTGCAGTCCCTATACACAGCTTCTGTTTAGGCCATAGGTTGCTGGTATGCAGAATACTAGAATTATTTAACAATTATTCCTGGCTATATGACTGGGTAAGATTGTGTGTGTGTGTGTGTGTGTGTGTGTGTACTAACCCATGCAAATATATATGAGTAATTTCTGCTCTTTGTCCATACATTATATACCATAAATTTATTAATGTGCCTATTCTTCTGTTGGAAGAGGCATGAGGCATAATTTTGGGACATCCTAATGCCATGCTTGATAATTTAAAAAACCCTCATAAATACGATTGATGTACCATTTTCTAAATGTAGTTTAAGTTTTTTCTGTTCAATCCAACATTGCTAGAATAATTTCAGAACTGAAACCATATGTATTAAAATTGTCAGATATTTAAATGTAATGAGCCACTGCTTTTGTTGTTTTTTTTTTAATAAATTTTTATTAATTTTCCATAAATAAAAGAGAAAACAAAGTAGAAACATAGGTAAACACAAAAACGACTTCCCCATACCACCCCTTTTCTGCATTCATGTTTCAAGATTTCCCAGCAACCCTTTCGTATTAAACTTATTTCTATTTCATAAATTTAGCTTCCATAGAATAATAAAACAACTGTAGTTCTTTATCTCTTATTACCCTGGTCCTCTAATTTTCCAAATTACAACAGTTTTTAAGATAAACTTTAAATTTGTTCCAGTCTTCATCCACCGCCTCTTTCCCCCGGTCTCGGATTCTGCCGGTCATCTCTGCCAGTCCCATATAATCAATCACCTTCGTCTGCCATTCTTCCAACGTGGGTAGATCTTGTGTCTTCCAATACTTTGCTAGAAGGATTCTTGCTGCTGTTGTAGCATACATAAAAATGTCCTCTCCTTCTTTGGCACCATTTGGCCCACCATACCCAGGAGAAAGGCTTCTGGCTTTTTATTAAAGGTTCTCTTCAGAACTTTTTTAATTTCATTATAGATCATTTCCCAGAAAGCCTTAATCCTCGGGCAGGTCCACCAAAGGTGATAGAAGGTTCCCTCCGTTTCGTTACACTTCCAACACTTGTTATTGGGCAGATGATAAATCTTTGCTAACTTAGCCGGAGTCATGTACCACCTGTAGATCATTTTCATAATGTTTTCTCTTAAGGCATTACATGCCCGTAAATTTAACACCAGTGGTCCATAACTGCTCCCAGTCAGCAAGCTCAATGTCATGCCCTATATCCTGTGCCCATTTAATCATGCTAGATTTCACCATTTCATCTTGAGTATTCCATTGCTTTTGTCTCCAATTCTTGGTCTTTGAAGTAGTCCTGATCACTGCATCTGAGTGAGCTTTGTCTGGACTCATTATTTCAGAATAAGAAAACCATTCCGTTCATATACCCTGTTCAAGTTAATTACACACAGTTTGATTCGTAGGGACACCGTGAGTACCTGCTCTTAACTGTTATCTCTTACTTTCCTTTTGTCATTAAGGCTCTTCCAATCTCCTGAGTTAAATACACTTCAGTGCAAAAGTTCAACATAATTTTATCATGCTTTGAATGAATTCCTCTGAAGAAATGGTTAATGCAATTTTATCTGTGAAACCTGTGGGTTTTGCAGTGTTGGAATTTTAGATCAGTACACTTTGTTCTCTATGACTCAAAGATGAAGTATGATTCTATTAAACGGGTACTAAAAGCCAAAAAAACAAAACACTTCAAAGTCATTGAGAATACTTGTGGAATGTCATAGAATTTCAGGGGCTTCTATGTACAATGCAAAGTATCTTTGGTTATGCAGAACAAATTTTTACTTCATGAAACCTGAAGATGTGCTGAAATATCCTGTGAAGTGTCTCTTGCCAGAGTGTTCTAAAAGTCATGTAGAACCAAATGGTGCAGATTGACCCCAGAACTGACCCCAAAGCCTTGCCAGTTACCCAAGTGGAAAAAAATGTCTTGTAGGAGCTGCTGTCCATGACAATAAAACCTGAAAATTCACATGAAGACAGGTTGAAGATGCAGTAGATGGACAAATGCAAGGTTGAATCTGTACCCAACCTTTGT